ACAAACAAACAAACAAACAAACAGGACAACTAATACTAAACTTTCTTTGGGTTATTTGTATGGAAATATGTTAATATAAATGTTTCAGACATTACATGAAATTTCTAAAAAAACAACAACAACAAGAAACCCTCTAGGATCCACCCACCTGTTACTTTTTTCATTAAGATCTCTTGATTCCAGGTTCGAACTACACTCTTTTTTAAAAAAATTATTCTATTGAAGTATAGTTGAGTTACAATGTTGTGTTAATTTCTGCTGTACAGCAAAGTGGTTCAGTTATACATATATACACATTCTTTTTCATATTCTTTTCTATTATGGCTTATCACAAGATATTTAATATAGTTTCCTGTGCCAACTACACTCTTTAGAGTTCATCAAACAGTACCACAGTTGTCTAGCGCCTGTCTCTGGTCCCCTCCTCTTAATTTCCCTGTCTGAGCATAGATCCGGAAGAGACCTTCCTCTTTCTTCCCCATCTTTCTGCCTTCTCCATCCTAAGTCCCCAAATGCTCAGGTGCAGGTACTTGGCCCATGACATTGCCCATTCCCTTTCTCTCCACCAAAAACTCCTGGGGTTCCTTGTCTCTGATTCTACACTGCAGTGACTCACTCTCCTTTGCTTTTTAAAGTCCAGTTTCCTTATCATGGCTTTGAGTTCCCTTCTCCCTTTTAGGTCCTGAACTGCCTTCCCAGCTTCATCTCCCACCCCTCCAGTCTACACTACATCTGCTCCACCCTTCCATCCACCTGACTGTTCCCAGGCATTCTCCACTCATGCATTTTTCCTTGTCTTTGCTCTGGCTGCCCTCTGCCTTCAGTGTCCTTTTTACCATCCTTTACCCATGGAAATTCTACTTCTTCTTAAAGCTTTGCTGAGTTCTCATAGCCCTTCCTCTGTAAAGCTTTCCCTGCTTCCCCAGTTAGGACAAATCAGAAATGACTGCAGTTCCCCACTCTGCTTTTATTTTCCAGTGCTACCTGCTCAGGATATCTTTCTTCCTGAAAAAGTTATCATATTATGTAGGTAAGGACTGGATTCTCAGCAAGGTATCACATTGGAAAACAATCTGCTAAATTGTTTGATCTACGGTGTTAATTAGCTGATAAAGTTTAACTTACAAATATAGGAGGCAGGTAATTACAGTAGACAGACTATATCATTGAGAGTCATGAGACCTGGATTGAATCTCAGCTCTGATTCCTCCCTTTATCCCTCCCTACCTCCCCTTCTTCCTTCCTAAAATGAGGTTGGCAAAGTAAACATCAGCCAGGTAATGCAGGGCCTTGCAGCCCATGTTAACTGTAAACAGAAATCATTAAAAGATCCTAAGGAGAGGATTGAGAAGATCAGGTTTCTGCTTTGGAGGGATTTTTGGTTTGTTTGTTTGTTTTTACAAAATATACATAACATTTACCATTTTTATTATTTTTAGGTGTATATTTCAGTGGCATTAAGTACATTCACATTATTGTGAAACTATCACCACCATCCATCTCCAGAACTTTTTCACCTTCCTGAAGTGAGATTCGGTATCTATTAAAAAATAACTTTGGGCTTCCCTGGTGGCGCAGTGGTTGAGAGTCCGCCTGCTGATGCAGGGGACACGGGTTCGTGCCCCGGTCTGGGAGGATCCCACGTGCCGCGGAGTGGGTGGGCCCGTGAGCCATGGCTGCTGAGCCTGTGCGTCCAGAGCCTGTGCTCCGCAACAGGAGAGGCCACAACAGTGAGAGGCCCGGGTACAGCAAAAAAAAATAAAATAAAATAACTTCCCATTCTCCTCTCCCCCTACCCCTGGCAACCACCATCCTACTTTCTGTCTCTATGAATTTGACTCTTCTAGGTACCTCATATGAATGGAATCATACAGTATTTGTCCTTTTGTGTCTGGCTTATTTCACTCAGCATAATATCTTTAAGGTTCATCATGTTGTAGCATGTGTCAGAATTTCCTTCATTTTTAGGGCTGAAGCATACTCCATTGAATGTATATACAAAAAAACCCCTCATGTTTTGTTTATCCATTCATACATCAGTGAACATTTGTGTTGTTTCCATCTTTGGCTATTGTGAATAATGCTCCTATGAATGTACAAATACCTGTTCAAGTCTTTGCTTTCAATTCTTTTGAATACATACCCCCAAGTAGAAAATAATAATAATAATTTTAAAAAAATAATAAAATATATATTTTAAATATCTGTGTATTAAATGCATTCGCCCATTTAGTTGCAACCATAAAATGGTATTTTAAAATACTTAAATTAAGAATTAAAGTTAAGCAATAAAACCTTATATATAATAGTCAAATGAGCCACAACTCCTGTGACATTACAATCACCTAGTGTTCCAACTGCTCCAGCTGAGCCCCCTCATACTTCATGAGCTACTCTCTTCCCTGGGCCCAGCATCACAGACCTCATTCTGCCAGAACAATATAAATTTCTGACTCCCCACCCATGACCCTCTACAGCTAGGTCTAGCCTTGTTTTCCAATGACTCCTCAGAATTTAATAAAATTAAAACTCCTTACCCCATCACCTAAGATTCTCCGTGGTCTGGCCCTGGATGCCCCATCTCTTACTTCTCATCCCCACTCACCTTCCAAGCCAACCATAAAGAAGCTATTTGCAGTTCCCCACATGTATCAAATCTCTGTGCTTTTACACTTGTTTTCCTTTCTGCTCTGCCTTGTGCTTCTTTGTCCGGCTAATTTTTATCTGTCCTTCAAGACTCAGTTCAAGCATTAGTTTTTACAGGAAACTTTTCATGATCCACAGCCCTATTCCCCACCACCACTCATTGCCACCCAGATGAAGGGCCCCTCCTTGGCTTTCTCAGAATATTTTCAGCATAGCACTTAGCAGAGTACATCACCATCATGCATCTATCAGTCTCTCTCCAAAGGGCAAGGACCATGCATTTTATTTATTTCCCCCTGCCTGGCATATGAGTGGTACTCAATAAGTTCAATGAAGGAATGAATTACCTCAAGGCAGTTGGTAAAAAACAAAGAAATATATTATAGAGAAAAAATGACTACTTGTATTTGTGATTAGTAGGTTTAGAAACTCTAATTTTGGCATACTGGAACACTTTCAAATTCAGAATCTGTTAGATTGGGAAAAAAATTCAAACCACCTAAAACCTGAACCTTTTATTCTCTTTCATCAAAATCATGGATGAATTAAAAGTAGTTGCAAATATTTAGGCCAGAAGACTTAGAATATAATCAGATGTAGCTATGTTCATGAATATGCTAATATTAATCTAACTTTAAACACCTGAAAAGGTATGAAACATTGGGAAACTTTATAAAATTCACCTACAACCCAGCCACCTGGCCCACTAGAACAAGCTGTACCGAAGTTCACACTATTCTCTTGACCTCCTTCTTCCACCTGACAAACTCCTCCCATACTTCAGTGTCTCATTCAAGTATCTTTTTCTCTGTGAATTCACACCCTTCCTCGCATGTAAGTGCTCTTTACCTGGGTTCCCTTAACATTTTATTCTTACCAGAAATGTAGCATTTATCAAATTTTAACACAGTTGTTTATATGTCTGTTTCCACTGCTCTACTGTGGCCGCTTTTTGAGGGTTAAAATCTTATTCATTATTGAATTCCCAGTAGTTAGCACAGAGCCAGTCATCAAATAGGATACACAGAGATGAGGGCAAGGCAAGAAGGAAGTAATGAAGAAAGGGGGTGAGGGAGGAAGGCAGGAAGGAAGGAAAGAAGGAAAAAAGCAAAGAAGGAGCTGAATCAGTTCCCTAACAAGGGAAGAAACCAGCTGTGGAAAATTGTAATCTGAGTCCAACAGAATTACAGAGGCAAGACCCAGTCTCTGCAAAGAGAATAGTTTCAGTTGGGTGTTAGGATGATGACCTAGGGCCTAAACAGAAATAGCTTTCTTTTCTCTGTAACTTAGAGAGTTTTTTATAGGAGCTTAACCAAAGCCAAGAATAAAAAGAAAAGATAAACTAGGAAAGAGATGAATCCAAGAAAAAAATTCTTTCCTCCGTATGATCTTATTATTTTTTTAAATGGAGGAATATAAGATAATGCATTTAATATGTTACTTAATTTGAACATTTAGAAATTTCCCCACAAATAAAAGGAATTATGTTGTGCATTTTAAATGCCAGATTAAGGGTTTTTTGATTACAGGACTGCAGAGGGAGAGAGGGGCCATAAGAAGTGGCAAGCATCATCTTTAGAGATGGACTTCAGATGTCCTGGAATGTAAGCTGGTCAGTGGGGGTCTTTTGGTGGAGAGAGAGGCAATTTGCGGCACAGGGCTAAAAGAATTGATGAGGCTGAAAGGGGCTGAAAGAAGGAATGAGGATAAAAGACATAAGGGGCTGGCAATTCTCCAACAATTCTGCTATCCTAACCCAAGAACCCTCAAGGATAAATCTAATAACCCAAGAATAAGATGGAAAGATCATGAAGGAGTAAAAAGATACTTGGCAGTTTTCACATTTGAGTTTCTAAAGGGCTACATTAAAATTATTACCAAAAAGGAAAATAATTTAAATGTGTCCTTACTGTGTGTACTTTTTTTTATTATTATTAAATCCTTGGTTCTCATTGCACTGAAAAATACACAGAGATAGATGATATGAAATGACTGAAATAAAAATATAATAACTACAAGTGACAATAATAGAAACAGTTGCTTTTCTACAGGAACTTAGCCCACTTCTAAAGACTAAGGGCAAAAAAACCCTGCTGAGTTATCACTGTTGGTTTTGCTCATTTACTGAATCCAACTATAAAAACACAATATAAAATTGGGCATTGAATTAATATCGACAATTATTCTTTTAGAAAAAAGGATTCAAGGCTCACTGTATGACATATACAAAGCCTCACTCATATACTTTACTTTTATGAAAAAACCCAGAAAACAGCATGACAAATAGACTAAGGAAAAAGAAAACTGAAGAGTTAGTTTAAAATGCTGAACAAGAGAAAGGAAAGGTAACTCACTGCAGCAATGCTTTGGTCTTCCTGGTGGGGTCTTCTGGCTTGAAGTTTTTATAGGCTTCTACTTCGTGTTCTATGGACAGCAACTGTCCTTGCAGTTTGTTCCTGAAGTTAGGTAGGGTGTCTCGAATGTGGTTGGTAAGTTGCTAAATAAAACAAAACAAAATCATACACTCATACAACAGATTGAAGATCAACTCATAAGACAAAAATCGCCCTTCACTGTTTTCCAGGTCATTCAAAACCTTAAAAAGCCATACATACATGTGAGACTGACTGTGTAGACAGATAAACTCCAACTCTTTCATCCACTGCCCTATGGCGAAGCTCAAAATTCCTTCAGCTAAAGTCACTTGCTCAGACAATCTTTTTACGTCTGGGATACCCTGTTAAAAGGCAGCTAATGTTACTAATGAAGCTGCCTAATAACACCTTAACGTGGATTGATTTGTCAGATCAGCTACCTTGTTGAAAGGAACCTTAAGTTAGAATGTGGTACAAATGAAGGAAATGGAGAGTTACAGGTGCTGCCTGAGTTCTCAGGACCAAACGGCTTACCACTGGTGGAGCTCAGAGGTACCTGTCAGCTGTTAAGTTCCTCTCCATTCTATAGCTCAGGCAAGGTGTTTCCTCTCACCTCCACCTTTAGGCCCCAGTCCAACTGTGGTTAGTCACTGGCTTACACCCTCAACAGGTTGCACATAAACTTTCTTGTTGATATCTCTACCTAACCACCTTCTTGGCATTTCCACTTGAAGTCATCTGCTGGCACCTCAAGCTCAGTCTGATAAAAAAATTCTCCAAGAGATTTTCTAAGAGGGACACAATTAATTCAGAACAAAGGTGGGATATAAACCCAGACTGGTTAGCCCTCTGCCTGATGTTCTTTCTATTACAGTGTAATTAAGGAAAGTCTGAATTAAAAGGAAAAAAAAAAGATCACCTTCTTGAACTGCTTAAGGAATAAACTCAGAATCAAGAGAAAGAATATCAACTTCATAGAAATGTAGG